AACCAAATCCAAGTAGTCCAGCCGAGTAGAAATCCAAGAAAGTCCAAAATCCAAGAAAATAACCAGTGAAGCAGTCTCAAGAAAGTCCAAATCCACAATGATGAAGATGAAAAGTGAAGAGATTCCAAGAGGGGAAATCCCAAGAGAAATGGAGAAGGAAGGAAGAGGTACCACTATGGGTCAGTGGCCAACCCTTAGCCCATTACCGCCGACAGATAGCGGGTGCTCTAACCTCACGCGCAAGCACTGACGCAGGCGGAAGAAACCTCGTTGGGCCCCACCCAGCCTCCTAACGAGGGCACCGATTTGATGACGGTACCACGCATACGCACTTTCCGTGTGCGCCACGGGTGCTCAAATCCACAATTCGCAAGCACTGACGGGCATCCTTTACCGCGGACGCATACGTGCGCCTTTTGACCGCAGGCACGGTCGTTAAGGCACTCAGATGAAGTGCAAGATGGAAAAAGCCTTTACCGGACAGCCACCTCTACCCAGGCTAGGATGCCAAATACCGCTGGCAACTACGGGCGCTAAAAACCCAGACGCAAGCGCCGACGTACCCCAGGAGCCGTAGGAGTCGACGGGGGCGAAAGAAACTCTGCGAAACTACGCCCGTCATCTCGCAAAGGCACCGTTCACCGTCGGTACGACACGTGGCCCCAAACCGCGGGAACCAACGGGCACCCTTTAACCGCGGGTACATACGTGCGGCTCTTAACCGCAGACGCGGTCGTTAAGGCACCCAAATCAGTACAACTAGGGTTACCCCCATCTTCATCAATGCGAAAGAAGGGCAGATCGTCCATAGGAAGGAGAGATCGTACCCGAATGTCAAGATCCTGCAGATTAGTAAACTCCCGCGTCCCCTCTGTACTATCCACGGCCCACAATGCCAACTCAGTCGTCGGGGCATTCGCCCGCACGTCACAATGAAACCACTGGACCGTCGCGATAGAACAGAGGAAACGCAGTCTAGCATAAACATCATGAAAGTACCACGGGGTACCTTCTCTAAAGAAACAAGCTAGCTCTGAATGATGGGACTCCACGTGGATACGCAAGAAGGACTGGGATATACACCACTGAATACACCGAAGAAGCACATCCATCCCTCCACGCTCCACTGGTTCCCACCTGAATGCAATAGAAGAAAGAGCATAAAGAAACTTACCTGTCGAGTCACGCACGATCGCTGCAAATGCCCCACGTAGCGGGGCCCTAGCCACATTCACCTTGATGGTGCCACCCAGCGGTGGGACCCACCGAATCAGCACCACCCTCCTGCGTCCAGAGCCTCGTCGAACGTGCTCCATGATCACCGACCATCGGGAAGGCAAGAGACCCTCGCTAGGCCAGCGACGATAGATGCATTCCGACACCGCCGTAGCCACCCGGAAAATAATGCGTGCAAAGTTGGGGCGAGCATCCCCATACTTGCACGCAGCATAGTGCGTCCAAATCTACCAAAGAATGATCATTGGCAGGCGGTGGAACAGGAACGAGAGCATCCTGCTCCTTGGCCTCTGTGCCCACCATATATTCAAGGCGGACCTCGAACTGTGATGTGTGCCCCAGATACGGGCAGACTCTGTGAAATAAGTCCAAACACGCCGCGCCATGCTCCCATGATAGAAAATGTGTGTAATGGTCTCCCGTCCTGGCGGCGAACAACATAAGCACCGAGAAGGCAAAGCAAAGCCAAATCTCGCCAGGACATCATCAGTGGGAAGGCGCCTCTCCAAAACACGCCATGCTAGAAAGGACATCTTATAGGGTAAGTGTTTCTGCCAACACCTCTTAAGCTCAATGTCCTCCAGCTCATCATTCCTCCTCGGTCTAAGAAGCTCCTTAGCAGAAGCAAGAGTAAACTTCCCATCCGTAGACGGGGTCCAGACCGGAATATCCACATGATCAGAATCAAGAGATGGCGGCTCAAGGCGCAACTGCCGTAATAAATCAGGGGGTAGAGCATCATGGTCAATCATAAAATCAGAGCGATACATATCACCCACTCCATCAGTCCAGTACCCACTGCAGCCATCGACCTGGCGATGCAAGGCACCCAGTCCAGACCATGTATCCCACCAGAAGTTAGACGTGCCAGAGAGTACACGCCA